ACCAAAAATTAAGAAGTCCATCTTACCCCTTACTCTCAAATCCTCTACACCAAGGGGCACCTAGTATGCACCTCAATGAAACATCACTGGGGCACAAGTAGCAGGGAAGCTTGGTACCTGATGCAGTGAAGCCACAGGCATTTTCTGAACTCCACACTGGTATTTGAAACTGACCTCTACTTTAGTTTCCAAATTCAGTTAGCTACTGAAGTCTGTTTACTCCAACTATAAATGTCTTAATTCTTTCCTCTTATTACCACTGTCTTTTAAAATGCCCTTATCATTTCTTGGAAAGTATTATAACCCGAGTGTTACCATCCTGGGTTCAAATTCAACTCTGTTACCTAAAATGTGAGCTTGAGTTACTCAAGTTTTTAAAATCTCAGTTTGCTCAATTTTTAAGATGTACATAATCACAGCATCTATCTCATAGATCTATATTGTGTGTACTCGATGATTATATAAGAAGAGAACTTAGCATAGTACCTGAAACTTAGTACATAGTAAAAATTCACTATATTTAAGCTGAAATCCATCCAGACTAGGCTTTTTTTTTTTAGAAAATTATGTTTTCAATATTTTATCTTCTCTTTGCATTTACACACATACACACACACATTGGTATTTCCATTAGAGATGCAAATTTTTAGATGTAATCAAAATACTCAATAGCAGGAAAATGGTTTAATGACTTATGACACATCCATAGTGTGGAATGGCATTTAGCCATTAGTGATAATGAAAACCAATCCTTTCTTAACACAGCTATGACCATAAGGTATTGATTTTTAAAAGGAGATTGCTAAAGAGCATATAATTGGCCAACAGAGTTAATTTTTCATCTCTTTTCCAATATGCACAAAATGCTTGACCCCATAAATCTCAGACATATAAACATACTCTCACTGTATGAAAAACACAAATTTCTCTTGATGCTAACTTCTCATTTCCCACCCTTCCTTTACCACGAACACTCAGATTCTTCTCCTTTACCTCCTATCACTTTTTAGGTCTGTCTTCTACACTTAATCCTATGGCAACTTTTAATCAACAAAGCCTGTAACATCTCTTCAGTATTTGCCCTACTGAGGATTTATTCTCTGCTACCTTGACATTATTAATATTCCTTCCTTTAACAATATCAAATCCTGTGACTTGCTTTTTCTTTCTGTCCATTCCTTTCTCATGTTTACTCGCCTCTTAAATGATGACATACCCTAGAAGAGCTCTCCTTAACCCTCTCTTTGCTCCACATGATTTCCATAGGTCTGTAACCCATTCTTAATTTGAACTTATGATGTATCTATACACCACTGATCAGTAATTCCAGACCTAGCCTGAGGATTCTCTGCAGAAATAGGACCTACGTTGCTAAGTGCTTACCTCACATCAACTTGGCTATTTAAGATACCACCCCTTTCGACTTCTCTCAGGTAGTAAAATCAGACAGCTAGTAGCCAAACTAGAAAACTTGTGGTGATAACTAAATCCTGTCATTCTCTAGGCTTTCACTTCTAATTATTGACCATGTGCTAATGATTCTATCTCAATTCCATAGCTGCCTCTCCATTTACAGAGCTCTATCTTGGAGAAGATCTTCATTTTCCTGAACTCTGTTAAAAAATTTCCTAAATGGTCGCTTTATATCAGTATCTTATAACTCAGACTTCATGGACATTGTATTTTGATAATAACTCCAGAAATAAACCAAATCATTGTCTTGTCACTCCTGCATAAAAGCCCTCTCCATGGACTCTTCATGGAGAATCAAGTCCACACCTCCTGGTAATATGGCTCCTATAATCTCTCTGCCTTCATCTCTTATGTCCCCACTGCAAACGTGAAGCAGCCATTATATCAAACATCTAAATGGTTCCCAAGTAAGACTTATCATTACTTGTTTACATGCTTTTGGGTTTGATGTACCCTTTGGTTGGAATATTCTTCCATTTTCTTTGCCTAATGAACTCCTATTCATCCATCAACAACTTAGAAAAGTCTTCTTTGGTGCTGTATGGTAAATTCAGAGGCTTGTTCTTTTGTGGTCGCATAGTACTTGACCTGTGTGATGTTTCTCACTTTACACAACCTCCTGGTTCCTCTTTCCCTGAATGACTGTAAGCTATTTAGAGACAGCAGCCACATACAGTGACTTCTGTGTTCTTTCAAAGTATTTGAAACTTGTGGGGGCTAAGGGGAGTGTTAAATGACTATAAATTGTCAGGTTAGAGATCATGGCTACACTTTGTTAACCACACAGGTTTTTATTAACTATTTGCAAGTGAAGAAAGAGTAAGAAGGAGGAAAGAGAAGAAAGAATTCATTCCAGCCTTTAGGAATCAACCCGATTTACCATGGATCCTTCTGAAACAAAATGTAGAAGCCATCTCATCCTTACTGAACATTGAGACATTGTTGAACATGGTGCAGACATGGGCATATGGGTTCAAAGGTTTCCCTGCTAGTTAGGCAAAACACCTAATAAGATAGCTTAAGGGAGGCTCCTCTTGTTACTACTGCTTCCCAATCCCTTCTTGCCTACAATTTGAGTACTTAATTTAGGGCATTGTATAGTAGTTCTTCCACTCCATAACCACCAGTGCTAAAACCAAATCACACAAAAAGTTCTAGTTTCTGTGGCAATTGTAAGATTACACAGTGCAGCCATGCTCAGATGCCTTTCTTGAAAGCATCTTTACCAAGCTGTCTATATTTCTCCTCAAAGCCTACAGCTTCAAACATATTCCTAATGTAGCCAGCCCTATTTAGGAGTTTTCCTGTATGGACATAATTTAAACATTTAAAATTTTCATCCATTTATCTTTTTTCCCCATACTCTGAAACCATACAGAATATATCTAATCCTATTTTTTTTTTTTTAAATGAGACCTTCAAATAAATAGAGAGGGCAATGATGCCCCTTTTAAGTCATGTTTTCCAGACTAAACTTTCTCAGGCTTTTTGCCATTCTTCAGGTAATATGATTTCTAGTTTATTCACAGTCTGGTTATTCTACTCCAAATGGCATCCGGCTGCCTAGGTTGGTGTGACGGCTGATGCCACCATTGTATTGTGTCTGAATGTGACCCACACAAAATGGGAATGAGCCTGCAGCCCCATTCAAGATGCTGTATTCTCTCAATAAAGTATAACATTGATCTGGCATTTGGGAGAGCCATTTTACATTATACTTTTATACTAAGTTTGTGCTTGATTCAAACTCCTAAGTTTGTGTCAGTTTTAAATTCTTGCAATTACTAAGACACCTTCCTCATAGGCCTTTGGAGTCATGATTTCCAGAAAGAATTAAGAAGATAATAGTCTAGGACTAGTCTTTGAATCATTTCTTTCATTGGCTAAGCCTTAGGTAACAATTTCTGACTGCTTCAGAATAGAAACAGAAAGAGCCCTGAATCACATCAGAGTCTAACAATTTATATGTCATGGCCCATACAAAACCTATAATAAAGATTCTGAACACAGTATATATAGGAAAAAAGGAAATAAAAATTTGAAGGTCTAGAAAGAAATATGATCCCTTCTGTATCCTTGAAACTAATCCTAGGTTACAGCAAAGGTAATTCAAAATTTTATGTACACAATAGAATAACAACTCCCAAGATGTATTTTAAGAAACATCAGTTATATGAGATATTAACAGATATTAATGGGAAAATGAGAAATAAGAGTACACAAAAATGTAAAGTAACTAAGACTTCTCAGGGCTTTAAACTTGCAAATGTGAAATGTGCTATCTCAGACCTGACGGAACATCCACATTATCTCAGAAGATTGTTAAAAAATACAAATTCCTGGACTTTACCCTATAAACTCTCATTTAGTAGGTCTAGGTTGAGGCCCAAGAATGCATCCTATGAACAAGTGTTAGATGATTCTGAAACTGCCAGTAAAGACACTGCTTTGGAGAACCACCAGGATTTGACTATGAGTGATTTTCTTTTTTACACAGACTCTCATAATAGTTTCCTAATGCACATACTTAAGGGACTAATATGGTAGATTTAATATTACTTTTGACAACCTAGAAAAGGAAAGTTCCATAAAGGCCATCTTTATAAACTCTGAATGAACAGGAATCTGGAGTATACTTTTATTTTACTCCAAAGTTTATCTCAGAAAAACATAGCTACTTTTTCCAAATACAGTAAGCAGTCTAAATATTCCAAACTTATCTGCTTCTTCAATTCTATGTAAAAAGGTGTATCTTTCACAGATTTTAAAAAAATGGCCATGACAACATCTGTCCTGGGAGCAGGACCAATGTGGCAAAATTATCCACGGTTGAAGACAGATGTGTTGAATCAATGGCAAAGTCTTAGGAAAAAAAGTTTTGAATAAGTGAGATGTGGAGTTTGCAATGAATTTTCTCTAGGGCTAAGTAACAACATTTTCATCCTAGTGACCTTTAACATTTGTTTGCCATGAAGTTCGTTGGCAAAATCAATTATCTGTCTCCTTTTACTAGTATTTTAAAATATACTATATTTTACCCTGATAAATTTTCTGATTTGGGGAGGCAAACATTAAGATTTGAAGCAGTCACAGATACAAACTCAAGCAAAAATGAAATTTGGCGACACAAAAAAACTGTCACAGTACTTTCACAACAAAATTTTGCTCTTCCAAAAACAATATATAGCTCCAAAGAGACACACATAGATCCACTTACAAATACAGCGCGCACACAACCACTCTGGGAACAGCCAGTTACTACACATTGCGCACCAACTAAATAGAGCAAATCATCTGAATTATTTCAGCACAAATAATACTTGCCCTCCCTTTCTCATTAACATTCTCTCAAAGGATGGCTTTCTAAAAAGAAAAAAATAAACTCATAAGAATGTTGAAATTCCAAGATAAAATAACAACAGTCAAATATACAACTGACATTTAAAAAAAATTGAGTTTAAAAAAGACTAAACATAGGGCTTTTTCTTAGTAAAATATAAGCAAGCTTCTTTTTGTTTTAAAGGTACCTGCAAAATGTGACTTCCCAAATGTGCTTCAAATACTTCAATGGCTAGTGCACTGGGGCTTCTCCTTCGCTGTGCACCTATAACTTAAAAGAAAAAGAAAGAAAGAAAGAAAGAAAGAAAACAGAACAATTAAGTTGGAGCTGTGATTCATACCTTCAGCTTAGTTTCTTTTGAATGGCATCACTGGCTATTTAGTATAACAATGAGATCTGACCCACCACCCAGTATTAATTTCAGTTCTGAGTTGCCTAAGCATAGGCATGGCCTAGGTTGAATTTTTAACCTAGAAGAATATAGACTTCTAGAAACATCAAAAAAACCACATCCACACTTTAAAATTTTTCCTTCTGGATTGTTTTCCCTATAATGGAATAAAAACATACGAATGCTCAGGTTCCTTTAAAATAAATTAGTACACTGTTTTTCTTAAAATTAAGTTTTTTTTTAAGCATCTGCATACTGCCTTATCTCCCCCCAACCCCACTCCACAGAAAACTAAACTTCTTTTATGTTCTAGGCTAGAAAAAAGCAAACAGGAAACTTTTTGTATTTTCTAATGTAATAACTTCATCACAATTTAATCAGCACAACATATGGGTTAAGACATTCTCATTACTGATCATTTGTACTAGTGTTAAGCATCCTGAGATGGCTGGACTTCAGGTTTACTGCATATTCATGTGTAACTATTCCTATAGGACTGACAAGAAGCCCAGACAGATCCTTGGCCAGCATGTGCCTCACGAGGTCAGTGACTGTTTCTTATCTGGAGCTCCTGGACACTCCTGTTCTCTCACTAAGAGTCAATCCTTCTCTTCCAGGAACGCTTCACATGCTTTTGCCTGCAGGTAACTACCCTACAAGGAGTCCTCATAATCCTTAACAAAAGTGGATTTAATGCATAATATCTGTGGAATCCAGGATTGAGCATCATCTCTTTATGATTTTTTTTAATTTTTTTTTTTTATGTGGGGTTCCAATTTGTTTTAAATCTGTTCTTCTGGCTATTTTTTCTTTTTCTTCCTTTTAATTTAATGAGTTTGATTGAGCAATGAACGATTCACAAATCAAGTAGCACCCTGAATCACAGCAGATTCAGAGAGACTCCAGGGATGCGTCATGGTCAAAACAAATTTACAGACAAAAAAGGGAAGTGATGTACAGAAATCAGAAGTCAGGACATCATAAAAATTCATTTGCTTTATACTGATTTATGAAATAAAATATTCAGATGCTTTCTATATTTCTAACAATTCCCCACATCTTCCTGCTTTTCTTGAAAATTTTATTGAAAACCTCTACTCTCTCAAGCCCAGGTACTACTAATTGAAAATAAAATCAAAATCCCCTACTTTCTAACTTCTAGAAACACTTTCAGCTAGTCAACAAGAAAATCTGAGTGAAACGCTGCTGGGATAATTCTGTCGCATTTCAGTTACTAAGTTGGTCAGTTAAATCCATAGCTTAGTAGCGATTATAACATAAACACACTTGTGATTATTGTGCTATGCAAAGTAGGGAGTTTGCCCCTGCAATTGTTAGTTTGTGTCTGCAATGTCTGCAAGGCACTGTGAAAATGTGTGTGTGTTAAGTATCATTATTACTGACAAGAGAAAAATAACAGAGGCATTTTTTTCAATGGGAAAATTTATAAAATATAATTGAAGAGTGATTATTATCAAAAGAATATTCCAGCTGGTAGGGATCTTAGAGATCTGTACTCCAGCCTCCTCATTTGCTTCAGAAGCAAAACACACAACTAAAAATCTTAAAACAGAAAAATCAGTTTACTCTGCTGAGATTAATCTTTATTATAAATATAGACAGAGTTTTTACAGTTTAAATATTCAGATATACTTAAGACCACACTACTGTGTGTGTATGTGGGTGTGCACATTTCTGATTAATTTCCTATTCTAACATGCACATTACTCCCTTCAAAACTCCTTTGGCATTTTTGATAATGCAGCTGTCTTGCTGAATACTGTTTTCAGTTTCTAGAGTGTTAATTGCACATTATGGTAGCTTGGTGTGAATGATCCCACATGAATAAAATCTGCAGCCTTTTTTTTGTGTGTGTGAGATTATGGGGGTGGGTGGCTTTTGCGAGGGAGAAGGGGGGAGCTGAGAAACTTCTCAAGTGTCCACTCTGTTTTTGAGGCAGTAATTAGGATTCAGAAAGCTCCTTATTAATAGTTCATAATTTGGTGGCGTGTGGGGGGCAACTTCAGGGCCTCCTATGACGAAGTTCAAAATAAACTACTGCACTTCACCAAAAATAAAAATAAAAAAGAAAATAAAAGACTAACTTTAGATAACGTAAACCATTCTACAAAGAGCTGGATTGCGAGGGGGCCAAGGGAGTAATAGCCACTAGATTATAAGGGACCCTAAAACATCACAGATAAGTTTACTTACTTAAGAGTCCCAAGATGCAAGCTCCAGTAACAATGTAAAGCTGCTCAAATGCCTTCTGGGAGCATAGAGGTTATCGTCTTTAGTGGAGTATGTGGGGGTTTATTCAAGTCTGGCTACTGATGGCCTTTCTTTTCCTTCTGTTTCTCTACTCCATGAGTTCTAACTGTATAGTTATTCTTTGTTCTCCAAACCCCCTAGAAATCTGAGTATGCACCCCCATACACACTAGCATAATATACAAGTATCTTGCAAGTAGTTTCATGCTATTCTATTCAATGGCATTTTTACGGCACTGGAACTTCTCTTGATTTATATGTTTTGCACTTATGCAGGTGATGTGGGCTGTAATGACAGTTCCTAATTTTACAACCAACATAAATATGTTAAACAGGAGCCCATTATGCCCCTGGTAGGAGCCCGGGTTTAACTGGAGCATTAATGCTAACTGAATAGATGTTAAATATGTACTTCTTATCTTGCGCTTATCCTATCGCATCTGGCATTTTGAGAACTGAGACAATAATCTGACAACTAAAGAATACTGCAAACACAGGTATTTTGTTTCTCCATGTTAATCTCATTATGTTTATAGAGTATCATTAATGATCTTAAAAAAAAAAAAAAAAAAACCTAAAGGAGCATTTCCTTAACAGGGTCTGTCATCCTCAGAAAAGTAATACATTGTTTATGAAGCTCTCTCAGATTTCTATATTTTAGAAATTGACAGTTTCTAAAACCATCTGGTTGCCCAGACATACTGTACAATTATTATGGTGGAATGGGCCACTGTTTCATCTGATCTACTGACATATTTCATTTGCTTGTTTGTTCAATCAAAAGACTATTTCCTGAAATTTATAGAACACTAACAAAATTAACATTTATACACACACACACACACACACACACACACACACACACACACACACGGGGCATTGCCAAATCAATGGAATGTGCAACCACTTGTCTGTGAAGATTACATTACCAGCTCACTGAGAGTGAGACGTAAGAGCTGTAGGAGTTGAACAGCTTATACAAACTAGTTTAAGAAAGAAAGCCCAAGCCATAGGAATTCAACTTCAAATTCAAATTCAATTCAACCTTACTGCCTACTTGATGTTGAAAATTTCTAGCTACTATAAGGTAACTACTGTTATAAAACCTAACAGTCGAAAAGAAAATTTTATGACATTTAAAATAAAACTAGGCCCAGTATATAATTATCGACAAACATCATAATGCTGCCATTTCAAGTTGTGCTAGGGTTAAAAATAAAACACCTAGAGTTTTAAGAGACTTTAAATGGAAGACAAATATATAGAGAGGGGTTTAGTAATTTTTTTAAAAAAATGAACTAGGAAAATTCTGACTGTCTCAGATATCCAAAATGATCCAATGAATCACTAGGACTGTGCACTTGGCCTTTCTGACATTAAAAAGGAGAGGATACACAGGGGAAACACAGTCTGAAACATGCATCTGAAAATTTAGTTTTGCCCCTCCGCAATGTCGGCAGGAGTGTTATAATCTGGACTCTTCAGCATAACCTCACACGGTGGTCTATGAGAATTAATTCAGTACAGTGAAAGGCAACCCTTCCTTGAGGAGTACACGAGGCCCTCCCAGTCATATTCCTAACCAGTGTTCCTCACCTCCAGGGAGGCACTCATGTGAGGAGGGCTGAGGATTAGCACTCAGTGGGAGTTTGACCTATTCAGCCGAAAGGTCAGCTTGCCATGGAAGAACCCATTACAAAACAGAAGCAGGACAGCTCGGTGGACACACATAATGAAAGGGGAAAAGTCATGAGCCCTATTTGCCTTGTGCCCTGCGCTGCCCTTTCCCTTCACAAGCCCAGCTCCTCACCAGCATCGTTCACAATGGGAAGGTGAACCACAGGCAGAGAGCCAGAGAGAGGGGGTTGCTATTGGAGGAATCACTTGAAGAAGGCAGTCTGAAGTAAAGAGGAGCGTAACACTGTGAGGCAGGGTTTCCAAGGGATTGTTTTATTAGGCTAATGCAGTCATTGGTGGATAAGAAAGATCATTTCAGAGACACTTTCTTATCCTCCCCCATAAGGTGGTGAGCAGTACAGCATCATGGGCAAACGTAGTCTTCAAGTTCGACAGGTAGTTGCCAGGAACACCTGGCACAAAGCTAGACTTTATGCCCAGTCACCCATGATAGCTGCCCTCTGAACCCTCCATCCAACAGGCAAGGATCTGTTCCCAAGTGGTTCCTGGGGAAGGGAGCACTCAATGGCGTGCTTAATGGAATCCCCAGACATTTACTCCCTGGGCTTTGGCTAAGCAAAGTCAGGGGCTGAGAAAGAATGGAATATAGAAAGCTTAATGAGTCTTTCCATGGTTATAGAAGAAAAGGAAAGGGATTTCCCTTGAAGAATCTCAATTAGCCTTCCTCACTGTAGGGCCAAAGAAGCCGAGGAGGGTTTTCCCAGGAGCCCCAGAAGTTCATGAGGTATATATTAATGTGTGTATCTGTTTCCCGATCAAAATTAAAATATCTCAGTTTGCATGTAATATAGGCTAAGTCTTTATTCTGAAACCAGCCCTCACCACTCTGCCTTCTATGAGGTCTATGTTCACAAAATGTATTCCTTCAACACGAAACTCCTCAGTATTTGTGCATGCCTTAGACACCAGGA